AGGGGCATCGATCAGAGCCTCAATGAACGACGGAGAGAAAGGATGCAGGAGGCTGAGACATGATCTTCTAGATGTAGCCTGTACGGGTACGAGTAGGTATTCTGCAGGCTTGCAGTAATAATACCAGTGGCATGGTAATAATACATGCACTCCGTGAGTTCGTACACAAGGAATGTGAATCATGATGAACGGCGTTTCGGCTGGACCCCGGATCATGGCCATTCCAGGGTTCGTTCCTTGGGTTGGGCTCGGCCTCTTGGAAGCAAGAGCCTAGAAAGGTCGAGCCTCAGGACCCTGGTCGTACCTACCACTTTTAGCAATGCGACACAAAGCAGAGACCAGCCCAGACCAAGTGGAATTTCTCTGAGCCCCTCGTCTCTGTCGTCTTTCTCTCCTCTCCAACCTTTTGACAACCTTTGAAACAAATCTGCTCGGAAGAAGGGAAAGGATACTTTCACCTTTTCCTATCACCATCTTTTTTTTTTTGTCGACAGTAAGCTCTTCCGAATAACCAGCAGCAGCAAACGACGCAACCACGCACACGCACACGCACACACACCGCGGCGCCATGTCGTCGACAACCATGATCCTCACCATGGCAGATACGGCGGTGACGGCAAAGGGCGGCCTTCCCACGTCCACGACGACAGGCAACGACCTCTGCCCCAGCTGCGGAAGCTCCCTGCCTGACCTCATCCAAGCCCAGGCACGCATCGCCGAACTCGAAGCTCAAGTCGGCCAGCTCAACGACAAGGCGGAAGCCGCAGTGGGCCGATGGGCCGAATACGAAGATGAGCTGGCCAGGCTCCGAGCGCAAGCAGCGCCAACGACAGCCTCGGCGAATCCCAACGACTCCTCCTCCTCCTCCGACTCCTCCTCCTCAGATCCTACTCCTCCACCGCCTCCCCCAAAAGATGATGACCGGACGCCGAGCACCCCGGCTGCCGAGGACCGCCGGTCATCGACGGGCTTCCTTCAGGGACGGCTATCGTCGCTCCTCGGCTCGAGGAGCAACAAGTCGTCGCCCAGCCTGGAACGCTACGGCCGGGCCGAGTCGGACCACCAGAGCGCCGAGCAGCTCCTGCAAGCCCTGGTGCGCGAGCAGTCGCTTCGCAAGGAGGCGGAGGGCCGTCTGACGGCCACGAGCAAGGAGGTCGAGGAGCTGAGCGCGTCCCTGTTCGAGCAGGCCAACGAGATGGTGGCCGAGGAGCGCAGGGCGCGCGCGAAGCTCGAGGAGCGCGTGTCCGAGCTCGAGAGGAGGGACAGCGACAAGAGGAGGAGGCTCGAGACCCTGGAGAGTGCCATGGCCAGGATCGACTCGGCCAGACAGCTCCTCGCCCAGCACGAGCAGCACGACAACGAGGCCCGGCAACAGCAGCAGCAGCAGGAGTCGGAAAAAGAGCAAGATGCAGAGTCAGGACCACCAAAGGAATAACGCACACATACACACGTGCGGTGACGACGATAATGCGATCACGACGAGGGTTATACGACTTTTCTCTTTTCTCGCATCTTTCTTAACGGCGGCGTTTACAGAGGGGATCAACTCGGGGTTTATTTCAACCAAAAAAAAAGCATGGGAAGCGACGGGGATAAATCGTTCTTACTTGTTCAAATTTCTTTCTTACCTCTTTCTTACATCTTTCCCAGCATGTTTCTTATTTATTTTCCCTGCCACACTGCATTTAGCATATACACGACACAAATCAAAAAGAATGGCCAAGAAAGAACAAAAATTGCTGCTCCAATACTCCAATGCAACGGGCATCCAGACACGACGCAAATCAATAGAAAGACTAACAATCTTTTTTTTCTTGGTTCTGCTACGACGTAATATATATAACGACCGTCTAGTGGTAGGGAAGAAGAGGAAGAAGAAAAGTGAAGGGGAAACCGGGGGGTGAATACGTGCCAAAAGTGTTCCATCACCTCTTTACTCCACCATGACAACAAGAACCGTATAAGACAAGTTTGAGCGAAGCCCATGCCGAAACACCCAAGACCAAACAAGACTCCAAAACACCAGAACGGCTACCCGTCCCTCTCTTGCCCTTCTCCTTCGTCCCCTTCCCCTCAGCCTTACTCGCGGCAATACCATCTCTCATACGGCTCTACTACTAGTCAGAGAGGCCGTCCCACGACTTGCTGTCGTCGCCGCCACCCTTCTTCCCGTCCCTGGTGGGGCTGCCTCGGCTACCGGTAGCCTGGACCTTGCGGGCAGGCTTATCGCCGTCCCGGTCGTCCGGCGTGGCTGAGCGCCGGCGCTTCTCGGCGGTGGGGGAGGTGGCCCTGAAGGGGCGGTGGTACTCCTTTGCGTCGGTGCCCTCGGGCTCGGGGGGGGTCGAGGTCTTGCTGCTGCGGCCGCTGTGGCCGCTGCTGCGCTCGTCTTTGGTGGCAGCGGTAGCGGTGGTGGGCTTCGCTGCCGGCGGAGAGGGGCTGGGGGGTTTCCACTCGGCCGAAGGCTCTCCGTTCCAGCGGGCCAGCATGGCGGACACCTTGGGACCCCAGACGGCCTCGCCGGCGGCCAGGTCGGCGTGCTCGAGGCAGTTGACGCCGCCGATGGTGAAGTCGCTCTGGCGGGTGCGCGACAGCTCGGCCATGAGGCCGGCAGAGTCGAGCTTGGCGCCCAGGTCGTGGCAGAAGGAGCGGACGTAGAAGCCCGAGGTGACGGTCATGCGGATGCGGCAGGCGGCCGGGCCCTTGCCTGTCCAGGGCGGGGGCGTGTCCTGGCTTGGGGGGTCGGGGACGAGGTCCTGGCCGCGGGTGGAGTAGCGGGGCTGCTCGGGGAGCTTGCCCAGGGCCCCGGACATCATGGGGGGTTCGCGGCCGGAGGCGGCGGCCGAGTTGCTGCGCTTGCGGGTCTTCTTGCTCGCCTTGGCGCCGTTGCTCCCGTCGCCGCCCACGCCGGATTCGCGGATGAGGGCATCCTGGCGCTCCTCGAAGCGGCGCTTGAAGGACTCGTGGGCCGCTATGGCCTGGTCGTCCTCCTCCTTCTCCTCGGGCGTGAGCGTCTTGCGACCCGACGTCTCCTGCTGCTTCTTGATGCGCCAGACCTGCTCGGCCAGGTTGCGCTCGGCAGCCTCGGCCTCCTGGGCGGGCCAGCGGTGCGGGTGCTGTCCCGGCTCGTACCACTCCACCAGCTCCAGGTCCTTGACCTCGACCTGGCGAGCCTCGATGTCGCGCGGGATGGGCTTGCCCTCGCGCGCGTACTCGTACAGCGGCTTCCCGTTCATCTTGAGCGCCGAGTACAGCGGCGGCACCTGCATCTGCTTGCCCCTGAAGCCCTCGAGGGCCTCCTCCACCTTGTCCCGCGTGATGTGGTCGTAGGGCCGCTTGGCCAGGATCCGCCCCACCCTGTCGTACGTGTCCGTGCTGGCGCCGAACAGCACCGTCGTCTCGTACGTCTTGACGCAGTCGAGGAACTGCGGCAGCGCCTTGGTCCCCGACCCGATCCCCAGGATCAGCACCCCCGTCGCCAGCGGGTCCAGCGTCCCGCCGTGCCCGATCTTGACCTGGTTCGCCCGCTTCATGTGCTTCTTCCGGGTGTGTTTCTCGCGCTCCTTCTTCGACACCTCGGCCGAGATGAGCGGCTGGAAAAAGCTGGACGGGTTCCAGGCAATCTGGCAGTCTCGTATCACCTGGGCGGAGCTCATTCCGCACGGCTTGTTTATGGCTGCGCCCGGGGCGTCAGCGTCATTCGTTTCTCGTCGTGTCTTTCGCTCCTATGCTGAAGGGAGGGGGGGGGGAGGGAGGACGCTTACCCAAGCAGCCTTCGCGGACGACGTCGGAAGCCATCCTGAATAGATCTCTGGGTCGTCGCATGCGGACTTTGTATCGGTAGGTATATATGAGAGAGCGTCGCTGCCTCTGGAGGCGGCGGCTGGTAATGGCTGCACTCACACTCGCCCAGATAAGAGAGAGAGAGAGAGAGGGAGGGAGAGAGGCTTGCGGCAGTACGCGTATGAAGTAGCACCGGCGTACTTCTTATTCGCACACAACCCGTCCGAGTCACCTCGGATGATTCGTATATATACGGGAGGTAGAGTCGTCAGTTGATCGTATGATCAATTGCGACGGACCTATAGATAAAGTGAGGGTATCAACAGCTTGGACAGGCTTAAAAAAAAAAAAAAATTAAGTGGAACAATAGTAGCGCGTTCTATCCGCCCCACAGACTTTCAGTACTGCCCCTCCTAACGGGACCCATTCTCCGGGGTCTATCCGCTACGAACAAGGGGGTGCTACGAAGCATGTGCAAGAGTTTACAGCACTCTGGAACCGATTTTACAGGAGACTTGGACGCTAAAGATGATGGCATGCAGCGGTACAGTCGCTGTAGATACATGCGTCTAGTGGGTGTCGGGCGCTGTGGGAGCGCCACATGATGTCCAGACCACTCTAAACGGCATTGCGCCCCAGCGCGCATGTCGAGTGAAACCGATGCCCCTCCAGAGTCCAGGTCAATGCCGGTCTCTTTCGTGGTAATCGGCTTGTGACTTGCATCGTTACCTGTACAGATTGCATATTCACCCTCGCCTCACCTACACTCTCCCGACTCTCGCCCATCGTCTTCCCAGTCTTCTCTCTCTACTCCTCTCTCTCCCGACACAGCTTTCTCTCCACGAAGTATCAGTACATTCGGACAGTTCACATACAGCGCCTGCGCTCCCCACGCTCTCTCTCACGCTCTCTCGACATCTCGCCATCAGCATCGCCCGCATCTTCAGATGGTTCACGCGCCGAGACAACACCATGACCGGACGTAGGCGGAGAGGCTCCACCTCGAGCCTTGAGGATGAGGTGATATCCAAGCGCCCCGTCCACTGGTGCCAGGAGTCTTCTGTCTTACGTCGGCTTGCGCCGGACGCGGCTTTCGTCCCCGAATTCGAGCTTGTCGACGCCGTGATCCTCAAGCAGGATGGCAAGACCATGGCCAATGCACTCGATGTGCTGTTCGACGGTCCATTCATAGTCCGCGGGACCATGGTCGTCGACGCGCCCGAACAGAGGACGCACCGTGAGTCCGTCCGTGCTGGTATGCCCTCGGAAAACACAGCATATCCACTAACCTCCATCACCGTCCACCAGTTATCATGAACGTCAAGTCCTCGATTCCCCTGGAAGTCACCGACTGCGGCCGCTACTCTGTCGGAGAGGCAATGGAAGAGGAAGATGCGGAGATCAACATGAACCGCCGATCGAACCCACCTGTTCTCTGGATGGAAGGCCATCATGCCTGGTTCGAGATCAACCCGTCCGCCGAATACCTCCCCATATACCGATCCATCTGCGAAGCCATTCGACTCTACTATTCCGTCCTCGACGTCTACGCTGGCTCTTCCATCAAGGCAATCGACCGTCGGCACAAGTCATCAGACCCAGTCGTACGGTTGTCAGATGTCTTCTTCCAGGTTTAGCCTCCCCCGCCCCGGAGTCATCCGGACACACGTACTGACCAGTTGATCCCTTTACAGTACTCTGCCAAAGTCGGGAACGGCAAGACGATACGAGAGGTTGCGCAAATGTGCCAAGATCTGGCCCCCTTTCTCATCAACCAGTTCATATTGCAGGCAGACTCCGACCAGTTGCACTGGCCGGATACATACTTTTACAAGTGGATGAAGAAGGAGAATCCGGTATGCTGTTTTCCTTTGTCTCCTAACATTTCCCCCCATCTCTACGCCTCCCAGGTATGATGCTAACGCGTTGCTCAGGAACTCTTTGCCAAGGCCGAGGATAGGATTCGTAATCCTAGATACAAACCGCCAACCAATGATCCGCCATCCACGACGAACGATACCAAGGTCGCCGAGTCTGTCGGTCTGCCATCAAGGACACGGTCAAGCAGATCGAGGTCCGCGGCCTCAGTGGCGCCCGATGCACCTGTAACCCAGAGCCAGCGATCCTCGAGGTCTCGATCTGCTCTGCAACCCGCAGACGAGCGGCCTCGAGAGCTGGGGGCCCCTCCTCCTATGACAGCACCGTCGAATCCTCCACAAGACAAGGCCCCCGTGCCCGCTCCGGGAGACGACCGGAGCGTTCTCGACACGGTCATCAAAGCTCTCGAGTCGGCATACGACACGTTGATCGGCACCAAGAGCGGAGTCACCTATGTTGGTCTGCTAAACCGCTTGTACTTCTCCAGCAGGTTCCCCACCTACAAAAACGGCACCCCAGGTAGCCATCGCATACCTGTCGCTGAGGTTCTACACTACAACGCGGCCGATATCCTCAAGATCATTGACCCGGCGAGGTGGCAGAGCACAGAGCTGTATCCCTGGCTCCAGAAGAAGGCCACCGAACAGTTTACACCTGTGGCGATGAAGACGTCCGACTTCCCCTACCGATTGGTACCCCGGGGCTCTCGCCCGTTCATGACAAGAAACAGCTCCTCAGCAGTGGCGTCATCAGTGGTTAAGGGGCCACTAGCATCCTCCAACAAGGACGACGACGACGACGATGACGACGACGACGACACAGTCTTACCGAGTCGTATGGGTAAGGGGATCAAGACGCCAAGTCGCGCCGGAAAGTCGAACCTCCGACCGATCTCGACGATCAAGAAACGGCCACGGTCAGAGATGATGGAAATTGACGACGTCACCGAGGACGACGACTACGGGAGCGACTCTGGTGTGCGGGCCAAGAAGTCGCACTACTTTGACGACGCCACGGTGGAAGATGCCGATATGAACGACAGTGACGATGACGGCGTCGACAACGACATTGCCAACGGTGAAGATGACGACGACGACGACAATGACGACGACAAGGTCAGGATTGTCATCCGCGCAGACAAGATCCCGTCGTCTACACCTCGCGGCCCCAACGACACGTGGACATGCGACCAGGAAGACTGCGAGTACATTGTGCGCGGCGGCGACGCAGACGAGTGCCAGGAGCGCATACGCCGACACTTTGAAGACCATCGACACCAGACGGAGCGAGTCCAGCTGGCCATGACGGAGGGCCGAGCAGGTCACCTCCCTATAAAGTACGCCTATCATTCCCCCTTTCTGATCTTGGTTGAGACGAATTCGGCTCCTCTTGCCCCCTGCACCCCATCACTCTCCTCTTCTGATCGTCATCAACATGATTTCCATTCCCAGCATCCTACCCCTACACTCTCTCCTCTTCCTCCTCTTCCTCTTCCTTTTATACTTCCCTCGATCGGGTCACCAGAACCATCACAACCACCAGAGCCAGGTACAAGTGGACTGGGCAACACGCAAGAGGAGAATGAAAAAGGCGACGACGGCAGCAATAGCTTCTTCCGTCGCCTCGTCGGCCAATTCAGGCGTAGCCCCCACCCCGTCTCGGACGCAATACATGATCTAACCTTGCCTCTATCGTCGCTGCAGCCACCTACTCGACAAGATCAAGAACCTAGGCGAGACGGACGAGATCCACGAGACCCTGTACATGAATGGTGTGGCTCTGCCCAAGCCGATTCGGAAGAAGGTGATAGTATGACGGAGCGTGAATGATGATCATTTCTAGACACTTTTTTTTTTTGGGGGGGGGGGAGTTCTTTTCTTATTCTGTTCTTCTCTCTTTTCTCTTTTCCTGTTTTGTTCCTCACACTACTCATATCCTTGGTCAGGCGCTTTCACATGGTCAGATTTGCTTTTTTCTATTTTTTTCTTCCTCGGATTACTTGGCCTTTTCTTGATCTCGAGGGAAACGAGATGTCAGGATCAGGATAACAGAACAAAGACAGCTTGATGGGTTTTTTTCTTATAAAAAAAAGAATAACATTCAAAAGAAGCATTAAAAAGAATCGACAGAAATAGAATGAAAAGAATATTTCAAAGTGAAGAAAATGAAGAACAAAAAGTAATATAAAAAAAAGGGAGGGGAGGAGACAATGTAAAGTTTTTTTTATGGTAATTTTATCCCCTTGGAATTGTACAAGCTTATCACGACAATGACCTCTCTTCGTACACATACACAAGACATGTTCTTCTCAGGAAGCCTCTGCGACACCATTTCCAGAAGAAGAGGCTGCGGCAGCAGCAGTAGTAGCAGCAGCTGCTGCAGCCTTAGCAGCAGCAGCCTTCTTCTCCGCATCGACGACGAACGTCTCCTCCAGAGCGGCCTTGCGCTGGAACACGCGTAGCCACCGCTGACCCCACCTGCGGATGAGGACGTCCCTCTCCCCATCCTTGCCATCCTGCCAGTCGCCGGTGGCCCAGCTGGCGAGGGCGTCGTTCATGGACCGGAACATGTCGCGCATGTTCTTGGTCTCCTTGGCGTACGAGTCCGGATCCTCCCCGACGACGTCGTCGGCGTCGGCGTTGGCGTCGGCGTCGGTGTCGGCCTTGGCCTTGGCCTTGGGTTGGGCGTCGAGACGGGTCTGGATCTGGCGGATGCGGCCGGTGACCTTGGCGACGGTGTTAAGGACGACCTCGAAGACGTGAGGGCGGGCGAGGGAGTCGCCGCCGTCGGTGCCGTTGGAGGGCGCGCCGGCCACGAGGGCCCAGTCGATGACGTTGAAGGGCGTGAGGATGGTGTAGTTGAGCAGCTTCTCGACGATGGAGAGGGCCACGCCCGGGTGGGCGCGCCAGTATGACATGACGGACGATACGATCTGCACGCGTGCCGCCTCCGACGACGCCCCGGCCTCCAGTAGCCGATTCTTGGTCCGGTCGATGCACGCCAGGACGTGGCTGAGCGACTTGGAGCCCACCCAGCACACGGCCGTGGTGAAGACGTCGGTGCTCGCCACCACCGGGTCCAGCCCGCGCTCCATCGCCTGCGTCTGGATGGCATCGATGAGGGGCTGGAATTCTTCGTCTGGCGCCTTGCGTCGCAGCAGTGTCGCAATCTCTTTGCCTTCCGAGGAGAAAGGGGTTTCTACAGGGTGAACAAGTCAGCACTCTTTATCGAGTGAAAATAGAGAGAGGGGGGGGGGGGGGGGGGGGGGGGTTGAGTAAACACACCATCATCCGCATATTTGAACGGGGGAACATCCTGCTCCTTCTCGGAACCAATCAGCCCGTGATAGGCGTCGGGGACGGTCTTGAAGATGCGCTGGGCAAAGCTGAGGCGGACCTCCTTGTCCAGGGCGCCCCTGAGGAACCAGATGGACGGGTGCAGGTCCGGGAGGGCGGTGTCGTCCTGCCACTCGGCCCACTTCCAGGTGAAGCCGAAGTTGCTGAGGTGGTGGGAGAACCAGTCGAGGAAGCGGTAGCTGAGCTCGAGGTCGATGCGCGCGTTGGAGCGGTAGAGGTAGCGGATGGCCCTGCCGAGGCTGGGGGCGATGGCGGCCGGGGCGATCTTGCAGGCCTCGGTCAGGACGGAGTGGTAGTAGACCGTCTTGCACTCGGGCCCGGGGAGGAGGAGGAGCTGGGAGAAGACGGCGTCGACGGCCACGTCCTCTGGCTTCCACGTGAGGCGGCCCTCGGGCAGGGCGCGCAGGTCGTCAAAGGGCGTGGCGCGCTTGACAAAGGTGCCCTCGGTGAAGTAGCAGTCCAGGTCCATCAGGTACCGGGCCACGGCGTGCCTGTTGAAGTTGAGGATGTTGATGGTGTCGGCCAGGCCGTCGCGGATCAGCGACGATGCGATGTCCGTCTGGGGAGGCACCGTCTCGACGTCCTGGTCCGCGTACACGGAGAAGTGCACCTCGGGGAACAGGGCGCGCGGGCCGGCCACGATGGTCGAGGGGATCTCGATGGGCGGGAGCGCGTGCTTAGTGGGGTTCGACAGCTTCTCCTGCACCTGGATGTCCTTCAGGGGCATCTGCCACGGCCGCGGCAGGCACCTGAGCTCCCAGTTACGCGACGCCTCGGTCTGCAGCTGCTTCTGGAGGAGCATGCAGAAGCTCGGGGAGCCGTCGACGCCCTCCGGATCCCCGGACTCCGGATGGAAGGGGTCGACAATGGTCTGCAGCGCGTGGGGCTCCGAGGCGATGATGTCCGTCTTCTCCATAAGTTCGGCCGATTTCTGCTGCGAAAGCTGGCCCGGAGCGGCGGCCATGATGTAAGGGATAGTCAGGAGGATGATCTTGACGATTTCCGTTCCGATAGTCTGCTCCCCCCCACCCGTCTCTCCGTCAGTAAATCGATCATGGCCATCCATTTCTCTTTCTTTCCTTCCCTCCATCTTTCAAGCGAGGAAAGCACTCACATCCTCGGAACTGGCTGTCTGCAGCTCCGCAGCCCTGTCGAACAGCTCGTCGAGCAGAGGGAAGACGCCTTCCCCCTCGAGGCACGACTGGAGGCAGGCCAGCAGCTTGAGGCGCAGCTTCACGGTCCTCCAGTTTCCCGCCGCGACGTCGGACGCCGTCAGCTCAGCCAGCCTGGCTAACAGGTCGGCCACCAGCTCAGGCCTGCGCGTGTTGGCGACCAGCACCACGGCGGCCACAAAGGGCGTCTTGAGCGGCTGCTCGACGTGCAGTTGCATGACCAGGTCGACGAATTGCCTCCTCAGGTCCTCGTCTTCGTAATTGTCCGACACCAGGGCCGCCGCCGACTGCACCTCGTCCGCCCACGAGCGGAGGGGCGAGTCGGCCAGGCCCAGGACCTGACGGCGCAGGCGGACCGGTAGAGGGTCCACACGGCGGCGCTGGTTGTGTCGTCGGTCGTAGTGATGGTCATCGTCGTCGTCTGTGTATATGAGAGTTCAGATCAGCATATTTCCTTCTTTCCGGTATCTTTCTTGATCATTTGAGGGCGGCTTCTTTTTTTTTTCTTCCTCGCTTACCACGATATCGTCGCTTGCGGTAACCACCACCGCTTCCTCCTCCTCCTCCTCCTCCAGACCTTCTCCTGTCATAGTCGGCCATTATGTGCTGCGTTGGCGTAGGATGCACTCCGGTTGAACGGGAGACGGCAGACAAGTTTGTGGACGGAGCTTCAAAAACTTTGGGGGGAGAGTCTTGTAGTCTGTACGAGTACAAGGTAGATAGATGGTGGAAGGCGCGTAAACACACATACACACACGCACGTTTGCGGCCCTTGCGTCAAAGGTACAAGGTACTATTGCTGGTACTTGTGATGACGGTGATTCGTCTCTTTTGCTGCGTCTGTGTGGAGCTGCTGGTCTTTGGTCTCTGCAGCATGCGTGTGTGGATTCTCGAGGTTGGTCTTTGTATAGGCCTGATATATGAGGCAATAGTTCTCTGGGGGGGGGGGGGGGGGGGGGGATGTCACTTGAAGCCTTCCCCGGGTCACCACGACTCCACGAGTACGGGCGAGTATTATGCGAACACATGGATACTTTAGATGATGCTTACTGCGACCTTTTCGTTCTCTCATCTGGGCTTTTTACTGGCACATGTCGGATGAACAGATAATGGATGATAATATACAGAAAGTGTTGAAGGATCAGAATATCGAGATGCAGAGAACAACAAGCCAAGACCCCAAAACAGGCACATCTTCTTTTCATAAAGGTAGCAAAAACAAACCCGTGGTCTAACATGATTTTTCCAGCGATATGCATAAAAACATTTTTGTCTTTTCTTGCTTCTTCTTCTCCTTCTTCTTGCCATCACCCATCATTCAGTTCTAGTCCTGAGCTCCTGAGTAGAGGAGTCGTTGACCTAATTCCCAACAAAAAAAAAAATCTCCTCTTTTCTTTCTTTTTTTTTTCTGTCTTCAACAAGAGAAACAATACATGGATCCGATCCGGCATGAGGGTGTAATAGTATAAAAAGTAATAGCTTGGGTCTCAATCAAGGAAAGAAAAGAACGAGAAGAGGAGGGGGGAGAGAAGAGCTCAGAGGCAGAAATGGGGTTCCTTTGGTTTCCATCCTTAAAAAAATAACGCCAAGTGACAAAAAGGGGGAATCATATCCCATATCCCCCTCCCCGGTATAACCACCAAGCCTCTTTTTGTTTCTCTTAGAGTAACGAGGCCCTTTCTCTCCTTCCTTTCCTGCCCTTTCACTTCTCTCATCCTCTCTTGTCTTGCTCTCTCCGTTCCTCTCTTTCTTTGTCTTGTCTTTCTCATCTTCTCATCATCCCTCCACTTTTTTGGGTTCCTTTGTTTTTGTTTTTTTCGTTATTCCATTTTTTCTTTTTTCCTTTTTTTTCATATTCATGTTTCTCATCCTCATGCAAAAAGGTTACACTGCCTTGTCCTTCTCCAATGACCACCAGCACCACCGCCGCCTACCACCCCCGTCATCTGCTTCAGCCTGCGCGTGCTTGCCTCCCCGGCCACCAAGCAGCCATTCACCTGCTCTGGTCAGGAGAGCCTTTCGAGATCACACACCCGCAGCCTATTCGCATCAGCCCAGCCTGGAGGAAAGAATTCTATACGACGAGTCTCGCCTCGTCCTCCATGTGAATGGCCCGTGTCGAGGGTTGAGGGTCGTGAATAGGCTCGCCTGTTGGAACCGAGTTCTGCCGAGGGGTGGCATTCTGTATGTGCCGGATTGTTTTCCCCTCCCCCTTCTTACGCCGGCTGCTCTCAATCCAGCTTGGCGACCATCTCCTGCTTCGACAAGGGCGTGAAGTTGTCGATATCCAGGCCGCGTGATGCCAGTACGGGGCGCATGTGAGGGGGCACCAGGCTGTGGTTCAGGTCGGGGGCAATTGACAGCTCTGTACGCATAGGATTAGTCAATCAATCTTTGAGCTACGCCATCTCTCTTCGACGGACGGAATCTCTCGAGGGCACGTGTCGAGACATACCGTGGTGAGTAAAGTCAAAGAGATCAGGCAGATCCCTCATGTCCGAGGTGCCGTGCCTGGAGTCGGGCAGCTTCGTCTTGGGGTCGCGCAGCTCGTCGAAGAAGGGGTGGACCATGGCGCCGATGGCGGACTGCCTTGCCGTAGGCGTGTACTCGAGAAGCTGGGCGATGAGCAGGATCGCATCGGGGTCGGCCTTGCGGAAAACTTTGTGGAAGGGGTGCGGCTTGATCTGGGGGAACTTGTGCTCCATGTAGTTCGGGTTCATAGTTCGAATCTGCTCCCGCGTCGGGGTACCCAGCACCTTGATGATCTCGACGAGCTGGTCTATCCCTGACTCGCCGGGGAACAGCGGCTGGCCGAGCATGAGCTCGGCCATGACGCAGCCGGTAGACCAGACATCTGGAGACGTGTAGAGTCAGTTCACTCATCTTGATCGGACAGAGTGTCGGGCTATCGGGGGGGGGGGCGGCGGGTGTGTGTGTGTGTGTGCCATTGTCCCGGTAGGAAGGGTAGGGAATATGTCAAGGCTCACCAATCTTGGTCGTGTAGTTAGTCGCGCCAAAGATCAGCTCAGGTGCGCGGTAATAGCGTGAGCAAATGTACGACACGTTAGGCTCGTTCTCGACCAGGATCTTTGCGCTGCCAAAGTCGCAGAGCTTGAGGATGCCGCTGTTGGGGTCGAGCAAGAGGTTCTGCGGCTTGATGTCCCTGTGGCAGATTCCTTGAGAGTGGATGTAGGCCAGCGCCCTGAAGAGCTGGTAGATGTACAGCTTGATCTCGAGGATAGGCATGGTTGTCTTCATCTTGTTGAAGAATCGCGAGGCCCTGTAGACTGTCTCGGGGACGAATTCCTGGACGAGGTTGAGGTAGACTTCGTCCTTCTGTAAAAACGATTAGCCCGGTTTTGTCCTCTCATCGTCTTCTCCTTCTCCTCATTTCCCTACATCCGCCTTCGCTTCCTTCTTTTTCCGTCCACTTCCTTTATGTTTTTTTTCCCCTTCCTGTCGAGATTCACGGTCGCAGGAACGTCAGAAAAACTTACCCGCTCGCCATTGGAGTAGAAGAAAGCCTTGAGCTGGACAATGTTGGGGTGTCGGACAATGCGCATGATTTGCAGTTCACGGTTCTAACCCACGCGTCAGTCAGCACATGCTAGCTCTCGTTGTTTCTCCTCGCCTAAGGTGTTCCGCCCCAATCGCCACCATCGAGATCGGGCGGTCACCGGTTGCATTCGTGAGGGACGCACCTTGAACCTCTTGTCCTGGAGAACTCGCTTGATGGCAGCATCTTCCCCCGAGGGTGACAGCTTGGTCTGAAAGACGACACCAAAAGATCCATTGCCCACAATCTTACACTGCGTGTACTGGATCTCCCTCGTCTCACCGGTAATGCCGTCTTGCGCCTTTTCGCGGATAATTTCTGGGCATTTTGCGTCAGCGTCGTCCAAACAGCTGGATCGTCGTGCGGGGGGGGAGGAGAGTTGGAGGGGCAGCAGGCAGCAGGTAGAAGAAGCAAGCAGTAACAGTCGGCAGCAAGGGATCGGAAAACAACTCACCTCCCATCCTAAGACTGTTGAGGGCGTTGGGGCGATGCGACGACATGACAACAGTGGTTTTTGGCACCCGTAGCTAGACGCTCGGGGCTACCGGGGTCTGAGAAGAAGCAGGCCGGGATATGTAGTCGGGGAGGGGTGTACGTGGTCCTGGAAACGGGCCGTGATGGGCAACAATTGAAGGTGGGGGGGGGATTTCAGAGGGACAAAAAGGCACCGAAAGCGGGGAGGGGGGTTTGGTAGAGAGAGAGGGTTGGTTGGCTTTTTGTGTGTGTGTGTGTGTGTGTGTGTGTGTGTGGTGTGTGTGTGTGTGTCGTGAAAGGGCGGCGTCTATTTTTTTTTGTGGTGATTAAAACGAATCAAGGACAGCAGATTGACTCGTTGCAGTTGTTGCTGTTGTCGTCGTCGTCGTCGTCGTCGCACGAGGAAAAAGGCACGGTGGATCGAAAAGGCAGAGAGGGCGTCACGAGCAAAGTATCTGCTCACAAAAGTGTCGAGTGTACGAAATGTGGTCCGAGGTGGTGGCAGGTGGCGGCGCTCGTGACCTCGCAGAAAGGTTCAAGACCTCGTGTGGTGGCTCTCTTGGATTCAAGGGCGGGGTCTTCCCTTTTAGGCTTGTGGGCAGCAGACCTGTAGACCTGTTGAGAGAGGTCCTGTTTGACAAAGAGACTAGGCTAGGAGGGGGCCGGAGAGTTTAGTAAGAGTCGAGTCGGCCGACAGTGTCAAAGGCGTTGTGTACAGGCGTTGATGACGATGAGATGGGGAGAGGAAGAAGATGATGGTATCATGCGCAGAAGAAAGAATAATCAAAAGGGAGAAGGAGAGTAGGTAAAAAAAGGTTCGAATTCGAGGCTCCAGTAGAAATAGCAGTGGTGCTGGTAGTAATACTCTCACTCTCTCTCTCTCTCTCTCTCTCTCTTCTACCACTAGTAGCACTACTAGTAGTGGTGACACGGCGCGAGTTGGGCGAGGGAGGGGTGCGGGGCTGAGTGACGGCAGCAGAGGGTACAGACAAGTAGGCAAGAGAGGGCAAAGGGAAAAAAAAAATCAGAATAAGAAAAAAAATTCAAAAGAAAAAAAAAAGCCAAGGGAAGGGTAGGCATTAAAAAGCTGGCCAGTATTGCTCAAGGATGAGAGCCAATGGGGTGTGAAGAGGGGTGTGCACACTCTTGGTGTACGAGTATGGTGTGTGGTGTGTGGTGTGTCTGAGGCAATACCAATGCCAATACTCCTCCTCCCAACACTACTTCACTGCTTCGGAGGCGGGCAGTACCTCACAGAAGCAAAGCAGTAACACCTCAGAGAACCAGCACCCGTACCTGTCAGTGTGTGTGAGGGCACACAGCAGCTACCAGCAGCAGCAGCAGGAACAGTCCCCGTGGTATTAGGTGGTGGGTAGCCTAAAGGCGAGTCCAGCTAGGTGCCTGGGTGGTAATATACAGCGTGATAGGCCCGTAGCAGCGGCGGGAGGGCAGCAGTACCAACAGGGGACTAGCAAGGACAGCAGCAGGGGAAAGCCGTCGTTGCCGCAGTTGGCCAATTAGAGAGAGCGACCAGGACAAGGCCAACAGCTGAGTTGATGCAGACAGATGCTGCTGGTTCTGGTGCTCTTCTGCTAGAACCGAGAGAAAGAAGTGGCAGTGGTAATGCAGGTTGAGACGGAGAGAGAGGGGTGTGTGGTGATGGTGGTGCGGTTGATGTAGGGAAGATACGCCATGCAGCTAAGCAGTGGACGACAGTGAGGTGAGTGCGGTGAATTTTTTGGGGGAGGGGCGAGTGGCAGGGGTGGGGGGGGAGAGGGTCCAACACCGTCTGCACGGGCTGCAACAAGGCGAGGAAGAAAAGAGGACGAGGACCAGAAAAAAAAAAAAAACGTTGGACGGGGGGGAAATCCGGGGGAATACAAAAAGAGACGTCTTTTTTCCTTCTACTTACAGACTTCTCTCAATGTTGTTTGATGGAGAGGGGAGAAGAAAAGAGGAAAGGAGGAGGAGCTATGGGTCCGGTTTGCAACGACTCCGTACAGAACTAAACGGCTGGCCGTCTTGTTGATTCGATGATGCGGGGGAGAGCAGGTATTCGTCGCTCTCGTGTAGGTAATCAGAAGCGTGAATCGTCAAGCGCGCGTATTATGCAACGGTGCAGGAGGACGAAAGAAGGGTTAAGAAGAAAAACCCGGGGGAATAAGGGAAGAAGAAGGAAGGCTGAATCCCTCTCGGAATTGGCGACGGGTTTGTTCCACAAAGAATAGTACGCAGTACACGAGAGGTGATCGGAAAGGGGAGGGGGGGGGGGTGGCAGGCCGGCCCGTGATAATCAAGACCAGTTCAGTTAGTTGCCAGTGTCAGGAACAGCAGCAGCAGAACGTAGGTCATCTCAATGCGGCAGCTTCTCTCTTTTCTCTGCTCGATATCCCGGGGAAACTTTTAGGGTGTTATAGAGGAGAGAGAGAGGAGAGAGAGAGGCGGAGGAGGGGATAGGCAAATTGGTGATGAGGGCAACTCGATGGGGTGAATTGTGAATTGGTGGGGAGGGGGAGAGAGGGAAAGGAAAGGAAAGAACTCGAGATGAGTCGTCGAGAAAAGGTGGGGCTCTTATGAGGCTGGGCTATTTAGCTGTACGGATTGGATCATGGGCAGGTTTTCTTACGAGGATTATTATTATTATTATTATTATTCTCGCAGAATCAACTAAGTGGCAGTATACGGAGTAATGCTCACTCTATCACTAGTACCTGAAATAGTAGGAATACTCTGCAGTGATTCAAGCATCCGATGACCACGGTGAAATATGGAGAGAATAAATTACGACCGGGGTTGATGACGAAGTAACCACCAAGAAACTCAATAATAACTCTGTAGGGGCTGGAGTTCCGATCTCAGAGGCTGAGGCAAGTTTTTGCTTTTTTTTTTTCCCCTCCTTCTTCTTCTATGAGAGATGGCGGGTTGGTCGTTGTGCCGTACCGGGAAGTATCAAACAAAATGTTGTAGTGCTCCGTTAATGTACGACGAGTAGGTATCCACTGGCCACCAGACGAGGGGCGGGGTGCTTCATGTAGCGCACTCGTGACGAGGGGGGGGGGGGGGGGGGAGGCCAGACCCAAGTACGTGCCGTCCGTGGAGGGGGAGGGGAGAGGAACAGGGGAGGGGGAGGGGCGTGGATGTGGATATCTGAAATTCTCTACTTGTTCGGATCGTAACTTGTTCGTACCTCCGGCCTCTGGGGCGGGTATGACGACCTCACGGTACATCAAGCTACTGATACCTGGAGGTATTAGCAGTTGCGTTGATGACAAAATATGTGGATCGGCAAAATCTCTCTGGGATTTCTCTGCTGCCCAGGTCATGTATCCGGGTGGGTCCCCCGGGCTGGGCACGAACAAACAGGCGTCTACTGACTCGACTCATGTCGAATCAAGGGACGCCTCTTCCTTGCTGACGGGAACCAAGAAGAATGCTGGAGGCTTTTTTTTTTTTTTCCTTGCAGTATGAATGCGAATATGTGCGAGCGCGAAATACATCATGTTGCCCTCCTACTCACCAGTGTGTCTCCTCCAATGTTGGAGGGTTGATGAGCGGACCGATTGACAATGCCACATGGGATGTACGTACAGGTAATAACGATACTGTTGATTATTACCACCGGCACATGTACTGGCCGATTGAATGAACGGCACGGAATGAGGACTCATCTACAACATCTCAAACCCGAGCAGAGAGCAAGGGAAGAATGCACATATACATGCAGCGTGTAATACTTACTGACAGTAGTAGCACTACGAGTAGCAGTACATATAGTCCGTCTGCGTAACCTCTGCAATACTACGCTGATCGAGTTGCACAGCCCGTCTGTCGGTTTCTCCCTGTCTCTCCTTGTCTCTCCCTCTCTCCTTCTCTCTCCCTCTCCCTCTCTCTCCCTGTCTCCCTCTCTCTCCCTATTTAGCCCTCACTCTCTTCTCGTCTTCTCCTTTCTTTTTTCTTTGCCAGAGAGAGGGCGCACTCTCGACTCCGGGCGACAAATATCGGGAGACTTGATGCCCAAGCTACATGTATCCATCTCCCACTGCACGCGGCATGCCGAAGTCAATGCAGCGACCTGGCCCGGGCTGAAGGCAGGAAAAGGGGACGTGCAGTTTCAGACGGGCAGATGTGTCCTTGTGTCCGTCTACGAGTACTCATCGTGCTCTCTTTTTTTTTTCTTTTTTCTTTTTTTCTTTCCTTGCTCTCTGTCTCTCTCGTACGAGCGTCATTGGCCGAGTATCCCTCTGCAGCTTGACGGCTCGAGCACATGTATTCTCGCTCCCTCTGCTAGTACGCATATAGCCTATGGTGCCGTTGGTCTGTACGTCGTCTATCCGTAGGTACAGCCTCTGGGTCATTGAATAAGGCATCATTACCAGCAGCTAATGCTTGTGGTGTTACTAGATAAACAGCATCGGCGTCGTTGCTTTGGTCCTTGTATGCCGTACAAGAACCTCGTTGTTATTGCAAATCAACGTCGTACCCGACCAGGATTGGGAGCGAGAGGAGAGGAGCCCGCATGCCCCATCTGTCTGACAACGTGACGAAGAAGCTGGAAAAGGTCTCGTTCTTCCTTCTACAAGTACATCAACCCTGGACAGTGCCGTCGTGACTCGCCAGTAGCGGTGGTAGCAGTCTGTCGATTGTAGTGAGCGTTTCAGGAAATAGAGTGACATCTTGCAGCGGTCCCAAATACCGATAACCTGGACGTACTCCCCGCAGCCTCTGCGAGTATCGCAGCATCATGATTACACCCTACGTACTCCGTACATGGCGTACACATACTCTGTACATGTATTATTATTACACCTTGCCGATATCTCACTCTCTCACTCTCACTGTCTCACTGGCTCCCTCTCTCTCTCTCTCTCTCTCTCTCTCTCTCTCTCTCTCTCTTCCTCTCCCATATGCATCCCAGCTTCGTGCGGGGATTCATGTCACGCGTCCAAGTCGGCTGGCTCTCTTTTTTTTCCTGTGCCCCTCCTCGCCTCCCCTTGTTCGATGACCCGTCACTTTTTGTTCCTTTCCCATTCATTCGCTGGACAATGAATCCCGTACCTTGACCCAATTATATCATAATAGTATATTGGTTTTCTTCTTTCTTTTTCTGCAGAGAAATGGAGTACAATCATGTGTTTCTAGGTAATATTCCGTCCAAAGTTGCGTGTATGTGTGTGTGCAACGTCAAGATGGCGTACATACAATGCATCATTACCAGATGACCAAACACCCGTCCGCTGCCGCCCGGTCGAGAGCGCCGCCAGGTCAGGGGTCGTTGGCATTGCCGAGCGGGAGGAGAAGTATCGCGAGCTGCTCTTCCTCTCTGCTTGAGCAAGGGGTGTGGAGTGGAGGATTGGGCCGTCGAGAGCGAGAGCCTCATGCGGCTTCGACCAAGCCAAAGCTTGGGAGGGTAGTCATAGCTCTCTGCTCGTATCTCTCGACTATTACCGGCATTGCTACTCTCTGCATGTACCAGCATCGTTCCCAGGTCTTCCTCACGTCGGTGGAGAAACAGAGGGAAAGGATTGTCGGAAAGCTGCCGTCGGGAGGGACCCTGCTTTCCCTCCCCAGATACTGAGCTGATACGCTGTAATATCGCGGCAGAATACGAGTACAGCGACAGACCTACAGTCTACCAGCAGTGGTCTGAGCCGCAGGATATCCTTTCATCTTACAGCTGGAGAGAGCGGGTGGTAACGTACTATCAGATAGAGAGTGTGAGTTGGTGACAGGCTGTTAGCATGCTCACTGACGTATTATCATTCGTCGTTAGCTGCACTTGCCCCCTTGTGGGCCGCTCCTTCCCATTAGCGTAACCGCCTCTCTTCGAAGTTTAAGAGGGAGATTGCAAGAGGATGTACGTCACCTCAGAGGTCACGATGCATCAGCCTTGCCGTTGCCGCTACGCGGTATCGCTACGCGGTATCGCTACGCGGAAGCACAATTCCTCCATCAGCATCTGTCGAGACCACGAGCAATCGATAATGCATTGACAATGTCTAACGATGGCTATTGCGAGCAGCACATGTACATGTGTCAGCGCTCGTCGGTGACGTCCTCGGGTTCGGGAGCGAAGCACTAACCTAATGGAGCACTCGTACTAATAACCAGACTCGCAATCGTTGGTTGTCCAGGCACATCAGTCCCCACTCATCAGTCTCACACCCCGAAACCAGAGAGCGATCATCATGACTACCTCCCGTTTTCGCCTGCTACGACGTAAGGGTAGGTAGGTATCGGTATAAAATCGCGCGTGTCATTCGATGATGGGGGGAGAGAGCAGAGTCTGAGTTGCGCACGAAGAAGATTCGAGCCAGCTACGAGTATCGTTGCGAGTACTCGCACAGGTACCGCGCTGCTCTCCTCCACCGTCCCGAGCAATAACTGCCTGTGGCTGTCAATTTAGCAGTAGGGCGGAGCTACCCGGTCCATGTGGTCGTGGCCGTTCTTGAGAGGCCTAGCACTCCCACCACGATGCACACCACCATATTCATCATGTTCCCATATCTTGTTCTCCTGTCTTCTTCTTTTTTTTCTTTTTCTTCTTCTTCTTCTTCTCTTTCTTCGCCTTGGTCCCTATTCTTTCCTGATATTTTTTCCCCTTTTCTGTCCATGTTCTCTGGTCGTCGAGGACTTGGTGGGGACTGAAACAGAGGAGAGACAGCAAATATGCATGCGTCTCGCCAGCCCGCTTCGGTATGGGTGAGTGGCCCGACTGACGGGTACGAGTACGAGGACTGGAGATTGGCCACGAATATACGTCCCCGTCGCGCCTCGAGATGGCTCTTTGAACTAATACTAGATATGTACGGGTACAGCGTGCTAGCTAACACGATACCTGTACTCGTACTGTGGCAAACACGGCGCAGAATGACAGCCCCTGCAGCACTAGGTAGATTCCCGGCAACGGCACTCGAATAGTCACGGTTCAAGCATCCAGATGTGGTCGTTTTATCGACGACGAACTCGCGAGAGGGAGAGACGATCCACTCCCCTCACGGCAGCTCCCACGTCAGCTCCCACGTCGCCAGCAGCAGGGCCAGAACGACTGTGTGCATAACAGTGGGACCAGAGAGGTCAGGGCACTCCGCCAGTCTGTCTCCCGCTCCGATGGTGTGGTACGGATGTGATGATTACGCACGGGGTAATAATCTTAAGTATTGCAGGGCGAGGCATTTGCATTCTGGGCCGTGAATAGAGAGAAAAAGAAAAAAAAAAAGAAAAAGAAAAAAGAAAAAAAAAAGAAAAAAG